TTAACAGTTTGTATAATCTGTTTGTTGTAGATTTTTGTTTGTAATTGAGCACATGTTTCCAATTGTCATGATAATATCCTGGGTCTACTACGTGGCGATGCTAACACAAAGCATTGTATATGAAAAAGAACAGAGACTTAAAGAGGTAATTTTATGAAGTTGTTAAACAATATTGTTTTAACTGTTTGTTTCTGTGGAATCATGGGTTAGGCTTTCTTTCACTATGTAAAGAGAAAAATCTATGCACAGACATAGATTACTTTCTTATGCTGGAAATGTGCATCACACATTCACATTTAAACACTTTGAATCATTGATGTGACTATAGTTCAGTCACATACTGCCTTGTTGGCAAGTTCATGAAAAGAAACATTTCCACAGGCAAGAAATTTATAACATACTTTAATAGCATTTTGAGCTTTCACAAAATTATTATTACGTATTGCGTAATAAAAAGGTGATAAGGTTATCACAAGAATACCATAAAGTATACCTCAGGCAGTACAGGTACACATCAACCTCTGCTATTCTGCCTTTGTATTTGTGTAGAACTTTGTATCCAAACATATCCAACCACTGTATTCATACATTCAGAGAGTACATGATTACTCCACCTTCTTTTAATACTCCTGGTATTGTCTACATTCATGCAAACTGTGTAGTATTTTCCTAAAGATGCAATATGAATGAAAACATAATATTTTTTTTATATTGTTGTTCAATACTGCATACTGTAGACCGAATCAGATTATGATTTATCATGAACTAAAAAGGACATCACATCAATATTGTTAGATGAGAAATCAAAACCACTATATGCATGTGTAGTGATTGTTATTGTATCTACCAAAACAGAGAATTTCATTATTTTATGAAACAAGATTCTAGAACAACGTTTTCATGTCATGATAAATCATACTTCAATGTCTTTATAAATATACAGTATCAAACCACAATATTTTCTTATCCATATTAAGTCTTCAATAATCTCATAATTATTATTATGTGTGTGATATATCATAGGTAATGAAGATGATGGGTCTGAGTAATGCAGTGCATTGGGTTGCATGGTTTATTACAAGTTTTCTTGAGATGTCTATTACTATTATATCACTGGTGTGCATATTGAAGTATGGTAAAGTGTTAACATACAGTAATCCAGTCATTATATGGATGTTTCTGTCTATATTCGCTATAGCCACTATCATGTTTTGGTAAGTGTGCAACCATCCTTGTCTTTGCGTAATTTATTTTTAATCCATCAACTCACAGCAACTCTTAGAAATACTGGGCAGCAAGTGGGAAACTGATTGTGTGTTCATCACAAATTCACAAAATAGTCCCGTTTATAGTCTGCACTTTCCTTCAGAAGTTTGGAACAAAAAATAGCCAACATTTTAGTATAAAACTTTAAACTGACTCAAATTTTGTCTGTTGTCTTCAAAAATAGGAATCATTTTCAGAAATATTGAAGAACATAGGAAAAAAGTGCAGACAAATTTGGGTGGGAAAATCTTGTGGTGAAAGGGTTAAACAGTCATGCTTGCGCCCACTGATGATCATGCCCACT